AAAAAAAAAAGAAAGGGGGGAAGAAAGGATAATTGAGTATACATGACTCCATGGACTATGGCCTTTAACAGAGAAAAAAACAGAATGGGCTTGCATCATAACATCCTGTGTTTTAAGAAAATCTCATGAAGCAAGGTGTAAACAGAGAATAAGTGATACTTACGGGTCCGCACGACTCAATCTGCATAATTCGCAGTAAAAAGTCTCAGGAGGATTTGGCGGAGCACCCCCCTCAATGGGCTTTTCTGGAATGATGACACAACTCACATGTTGCCATGTGCGGCATCTTTTATCTTCACACTGCATGTGAAATTCCTTAATAAGACACAAATGAATTGTATTGACTAACAATTTAAATTTATATAGGATAATGTAAATAATTTTTACACAAATTAGACCTATTGTAGCTGGTCGCCTGCCTTATTTATCAGGTTACTAATCCCACTTATTATTGTTACTTGCAGTTATCTTTTGGGTAGAGGCTTAAATTAGAGGAAAAAATCCTTATATAAATTCCAGATGCTTAGCATACAAAAAGCAATTAGGCATTTTCTTTGAAACAGAATGTGAAGATGACAGGATCCTTTCCTCAATCAAACAATCCACAGGAATTATTTTTGCATGTAAATGTTTATTTCTCATAATTAAGGAAGATGAAGGGATTCAGTACTGAAGTAAAACCTGAATCATTGTTTCAGTTTGTAATGAGCTTCCACATGGACATCGAATCTTCATCTGGTAAGAATCTTCAATTTCCTCTTTTAACTTAACATTATTGCTATCTGAGACAACTTGTGACTTAAACTCTTGCATTTTTCTGGAAGAGGCAAGAAAACATCACTATCACAAATCAAAGAATTTCCGAGTGACATGTACGGGGCAACAAGAATCACACTTCTGCTTCATCTAAGTTCACTAAGGCAAAATTAATCAGAAAGAATCGTGTCCACCTATGAAATGAGGAAGTAAAAACAAGCTTATTTCACCATAAAGCTCTACAATAGGCTCTTCTCTCCTGTTATTTTCTGTTGCTCCCTTAAAGAACATATACACCCTAGAATCACTCGGAACTTCTTGAACACACTGGTGTATACCTGAAACTCATAGGAGCCAGTTGACGTGCCAAGTTCTTGTCAATTGAATCATCACTTCCATCAATTAACCAAGTCATTGGAAGTGTTAAATTTCTACAAAAAGAATGAAGACTTGTGAAGTCAGCACCTAATAATTCTTCAATAATCAGAAAATGTTGGTATAGTTTTTTAAGAACAGATGGCGAGACAACAATACATCAGAGGAAGAATTAAGACATGTATGTACCGCTCAACACGCTTGCATTTGCAGCGGTTCATCATATTCACTGTATAAACATCAAAAAGGATGTCAATGTCCTTTGCCAGTTTTGGTATCTGATAACCTGGTATGATGTCCCAGATTTTTAACACTTGATAGTATGTGGAGTTCTCTAGCAGAATATCTACGGTCCAAATCAGCTTTAGGTACTTGACACTGTAGATCTCCAATAGTTCAGATGAATTCCCCCCATTATTGTAGAAAATGTTGTGCTTTCCTGACATGCGCCAACCACTTGAAAGCTTCACCAAAAGGGAAATCACTTCTTCACGGATCATGGCATCTTTAATTCGAGCCAAGGATTTTGAGAAATCCTCACTAAAGAGAACCTGCAATTTCCCCAAATTGAAAACAAAATAAAAAAATTAATCCCTGGAAAAGAAAGAATACCAAAAACACTTACTAGCAAAATCCAAAATCAACAGATGAGCTTTTTGGCCATCCCAAGAAACAAACAAACATGCGAGAAGTACTTTTCGCCAATGAGTTACACAACAAAGAAATGGTAATGCTTTCAAATTTTCCAAAGTAATCAATTGGCTCAAAAAAAGAAAAACATCCATTATAAGCCAGATGAAGGAGCATACCTTCCACTTGGCTGTTTCGAATAGAGGGGAGTCCATGCTGAGTAAAGTTTCAATCTGGCCAACTTCAATGGTAGCGCTCAAGATCGCTTGAGTCAAACTCTTGTCTTCATGAACATCAAAGAAACAACCACGAGCCTTGGAGTCAATGACTAATTGCTTCCAAATGGAACCACTGTTAACCAATGTTGTGGCATTCCCTAATATCCAAAGGCAGAACCTGTGTACAAAGCCAATGAAACAACTAAGAGCATGCTCATCAATTGTCCTATCACTGAATTACCACCAAAAGATGGCAGTATAATCATCCTCAACATTCAATAATTTTACATGTAACAGTGTTGTCCAATAAATTAGTACCTTGCTCGAGTCAGTGCTACATTTGCTCTCTGACGACTAGAAAGGAATCCCACTAATCCACTCCCATTACCACGAACAGTGGAGATAATAACCACATCTTCTTCACAGCCTTGAAAACCATCAACAGATCGTACATTCACTGAGAAGTAGCTATTGACATCTGTGCTATATTTCTGTCCAAGTTTTTGCTGAATTGCAAAAACTTGAGCCTTGTAGGGAGATATACAACCAACAGAAACCTTTTGCCTTGAAGCAACAGATTCTATAGTTGGGAAAAAATAAATCAGATTTTCCAACACGATTTCCAAGCTAATCAAAATACAGAACTGAAAACATGAAAAATTCATTATAAGCATAAATGAAGTACCTGAAAGATGAAGTATTACCTTTATAAAGGTTGGCAACGATCTCAGCAATGACATAAACTTCTGCCATATTTCTTGTGCTGTGTTTGTTATCATACTCCTCTTTTCCACTGCTTATGTTAATAAATGAATAGGAACCGAAAATGTTTCCTTTAAGAAATCTCTTCTCATACATTGCTTCTTTCACATTCGGACCATCCATAATTTTGTTTTCATAGAACTCTCTATTTGGAAACAAACTAATTGCAGGATGCATCCTATATTGAACATTAAGAAGGTGCTTCTTGTGCCCTATTATTACCAGCCTCTCAAATAAGCTCCTTCCAAAGTCAGCCTTCTCAGAGATCTGTCAATAATAGACACTATGTCAATGATATAAGAGCAACAAAGCCAACTTTTAGGAAACAAGTATCATAATAACAAGATTAACAGAAAACCTTGCTCTGAACCATTGCAGGCAATTGTTTCTCATCCCCAATAAGTATGGCATGACGGATACCAGGGAGCTGTAGGGGAATAATGGATTCACATTCTTTCAACTGAGCAGCTTCATCAATTACCACCATCTCCAGAGGGATCATTCCTTCTGTGTACAATTTTGAGGAGCTAGAAGCAGTGCAGAAAATCAAACATGCACCTTTCAGACAAAAACTTCGAATATCAGTGATATTAGGAAGAGAGATTCTCTCGCTAAGAGATTTCAATATTTTGATGCTTTCTGTTTTAGTTGCATACATATTCCGAAAATGTCTCCCATTATTCCTTGTAACAATTTCAACTCCATACAGAATTTCTTTTGACCTTTTGAATGTTGCCACAGTGCGGAACAGTGTTCCAAGAGTTTGAAGCATCTCAAGAACTCTGATCATATCTTTAACTACTTCTAGTGGAAGGAAAGAAGTAGGAAGATAAGTGTACAAGCTTGTTAGACAAAATGTCAACTGCTCCTGGATCCTTTTGAATTTATTGATAACAAACTCCTCAAATGTCCAACTACCGTCTTGTTTGTTTCTTGCCTCCCCTTCATTCTGAATGCTCACAGCAGAATTGACCTTGTTCGCATTGCCAACTGATCTCATTTGCGAATTTTTTTCATCGTTTGATATCTTCTCGTTATCTTTTAAGGTCTGATGGACGAATGTTTTCCGCAGCTTACTCTTCCTATTCTTATCTAGTCCTTGATCATTTATACTTGTAATCCTTGCTTTCTCTTCCACCTCAACATCATCCGTGTTATGTTCCTTATATTCTTTTTCTTTTCCCAAGTATTCACGGTATTGCTCTTCAGGATCTTCAAGAAAAGATACCATGGACAGTATATGATTTTTCCACCCATGATCAGGAGACAGAGAGCTCCCAAGAGCCGCAACACGGTTATCAAGAAATACATCGAACAGGTCTTCATGATCATCAATGCCCATTCTTTTCCCATTACCAAATAGAACTATATCTCCTAATCCGTATGTTTCATATTCCAGACCATCCTGTAGTAGTTGCATCACCCTCTTTATAATTCCGAAGACAGCAATGTTTGTGGGAGCACAAGTCAAAGTTCTGCATTTCATTTTAAACAGGAGATAAAGTAAGGAAGCAACTGTTTTTGTTTTGCCAGTTCCTGGAGGACCCCAAACTAGATTAATAGCATTCCGGTGGCCACATTCTCTTGTAGCAATACAACTTATAACAGCCTCTTGTTGAGCATAATCTAGCCCAAATGACTCAATGGTAGTCCTGTGATTTGATATGGCACTAGCTTTCGTTTCACTGAAGGAGCAAAGAACACACTTCTCTTCATCCTGCAAAATAATTGAAATTTACTAGACCTTAATCAAGGAAAATTGTAGATCAAAACTAATAGGGAAAGAGTCCATAAAATATTCCTTCAGAATGGCTGCAACAAGAGTAAGAGAGACAGAAATTTACTTACAACACTTGGATCAACTTTCAGCACAGTCCTAATTATGTTCAAGTTGGCACTTTCCATGTCTGAATTCAAAGCTTTCCATATTCGAATATTCGTTGTAAGATTAGAAAGGTAAACAATGAAGAGTCTGTCTCCTCGTTCACCCTTTTCCCTGTCTGGTTTTTTAAATGGGATAGTCTTCGAAGACAGGATAGATAGCCTGTCTGAACCTACATCTTTTCCTTGTACTAATGCAATGAGAAATGATCTCTTTGGTCTGTTGAAATCATCAATGCTTTTCGGCCTCACATCTGATAGTGCAATCAGATCTCCAACCCCTGGTTCATATGTTTTTCTAACTCTTTCTCCCTCGCTAGCTCTATTTAACCAAATGTTGTAGTATAAAGCCCTAGGAGGCTTAAAATCTGCTGATGATTTGACATCAATAACCTCAAGTGCAGGAGATTGCCAGGCAGCTCTCACGCCTGAGAGCAAATCAGCATGTGTTTCTTCGATAAGCGGACTGATGAATGAATGGAAGTAATGATCAGTTGACAAGAACGTCTCAGGAATTTGTTTAACCTGACAAATTTGAATACAACTAACTCTTTAGCAAATCGCACATATATCAAAGTATGAAAAATACACAAAATATCATTTCAAACCACTACGTTTACCAAGGAAGAAAGCAGGGATCTCCAGAAACGTAAATGCTCAGGGCCTTGCTTCCAACCATTGTTTTAAAAGACATGAGCGCGAGGAAAGATGTTTTACTTAATAGGATACGAGACCTTAGCTCCAAGCATGGAGTAGAAGCCCAATAGATCTCTAAGGGGAGAATTCATAGACAATCCCAAAACACACGAGCGCGAAGACAACGTTTAACTTAATAGGAGACGGGACCTAACCTCCAAGCATAAAGCATAAGACCAGTGGATCTCTAAAGGCAGAAGTCATAGACAATCCCCAAGCATACCAAAAAATTTCATTTACACCTCGACTGAGGTCATGACTTATAGGCCAGCGAACATTTGTGCAAAATGTGCCTATTAGACATGACTTTGCTATGGTTGAGCCAGGAATTTTAAATAGGGAATTCAAACAATTCAAACCTGCAACCTAAAGCAATTTTTGGATTACATTACCTTATGCACGAAAAAAACTGTTTTTGCCCTATTTACGTAGTATAATTTTGTCACGATTCCCCACCTTAATTGAGCGCGTATTGCCAGAAAATGTGGAATTTTCACTGAAAAAATGAATTTCCAGACATTTCCGGCAACTAATTTTCTTCAACTCATTTCTCCTTTTTCTTCTCAACACCCTCATTCATTTTTCCAGATTCAAACTCCATTTTCCACAGAAGTTTCCACATAATGTAACAAATCTCATTCCCTCATAGTTCCCCTTACAAATTCTTTAAATGCAACATATGCCAAAATTATCAGAAATCTGCATAACTTCGCCTCTGCAACGTAGTCATTAACTATGCACTTTGTGCTCTGATACTATAAAATCTTATTCAGAAATAATATTAGTATAAAAATCTCAATTAGCTATAGGGTTTTACCACTTTTCTCTCTTTTTTTTCTCCCTTCATTTTTATTTGTTATAGTGAGTCCATTTTTCTTCCTCCCCCTACTCCTCTCTTCATTTTTATTTTTGTCCATTTTCTCCCCCCTCAAAGAAGAAGAAGAAGCTGGTGTATATTTTGCCTATTTTTTTTGTTTCTTTCTGTTGAATCCTTTTTTATTTTAATATTGGTCCTAATACCCCATGTCAAAATCCTGCAAAAGAGAAAACTATTTTTCTACTCCCAAAAACTAGTTGTAGCAACTAGCAACACCCGAACTCCTTCCAGGGTGAGTTCTGGCAAAGGAGGGAAGAAAAATAATGAAGAGAAAGAAAAAGAAAAGAATAAAAATGTAAAACAAAAATAAAAAGAGTAAGAAAACATTTTTAATAACAAAGAATGCCATATGGCAAAAAATCACTGATTTGGACTTTTTTTTTTTTTTTTTTTTCTCACACAATCTCTTTGGTGTAAAACACTTTAGTCTTTTGGTAGAATGCGATAAAATAATGTATACATTAATTTTGTATATTAATAATATCTTGTTTGGTATACTATTTAAACTTATGTATTATTAGTTATGCATCCTTTAGTATTATTCTATGCATAACTAATGCACAAAAACTATGGTATTAATAATGCAATGGGTTTTAATGCATGCATTAACTTAGTTAAAGACAAAAATGTCCTTCAAAGTTTATACTTTTAAAATATGCTATTATATTAATGCAAATTTGACGTAAAGTTTGATGCTGAAATTATTTCCGCTATTTATATCTATACTCTTCCAAGTTATTCATTGTAAATTTATAAATTTGTATTCTACTACTACGTACTGTAATGCACTTGTAATCAACTTATTTTACTTTTATTTTTTTAATTCAAGCTTTCTTTGCCTAATAATCCAAGAAAGTTGGAAAATAAAATTATGTCCCTAGTAGATAAATAAATACTTAGCATATTTTCTTTTTTATAAATAAATATTCAGTTATATACTACAATATATGTACACAAATCAAATAATTTTTTAAAATCTTTTCATATAAAAACATTCATCAACATATATTTCTTGTAAAAAGATAAATTGATGGACTGGTTATGAGTGTATTTTTGTAAACAAATAATTCTTTTAGAAATTATACAATGGTTTAATACATTAAACCAAAGAATAGATAAGAAATATGTCAGTATAACTAATACATTATATTCAACATTATTCTTATGCACCCTACCAAACGACCCCTTAATTAGGTGCTAGATGGCACAAAAAGGTGGTATTAACACTTAAAATTAGTTGAAGGGTCAATATGAAAAGTTTTTGACAAGTTTAGAGGTTGTCTCAGGATTTGTCATATTTAAACTTTACCATTTTATATGTTAATAAAATGACATTGTTATATAAAAATGGAGAATGTATTAAAATAAAAATAGTAAAAAACTCTATAGCAAAACAAAAACAATGCTTGGGAGTTAGGACGATGTTAATTAGGAGTATAACTCTATAGTATAAGGTAATAAACTAACCAAAACAAAAGAAAAGAAAAACACGAGTGCTATCTACAGCTAGAAAAGAAACTGTTGGGACAGAAATAATTCTTAAAGATTTTAGTCTAGCGGAAGAAATAATTCTTAAAGATTCTAAGTTCTAACTTATATTAATAAAATGCTATAACAAGTTAAACTATAATATAAGAATTAGTGTAAAGTATATATAACTGAATTCAATAACAATTGCAAGAAAGATTAGAACCTTGTCTTTGAGAAGATCTCTGTTCAGGACATGAGCTAAAGACCAAGAAAAAATCACATCTATCAAGCCTGGAATAATTACTCGTTCTGTTTTTTCCCTTATTCGAACACCTTGTCCCGTTTTCTCTCTTGCACATTCCTCTTCTTTGTGTGGAGCAATATTTTCTTGCTTCAATGAAGCAAGTTTATCGAACATGGAGAATACTGCAAGTAAATAAATGATATTTTAGATAAATACTTTCGTTCAACTTGAAATGCATACAAGAACAAATATATAGTAGGAAAAAGTGTTTTTCCTACCCTTTTCTGGTATTAGGATTAAATTATTTATGTTGCAAATCACTAGTGATCAAATCAAGGAAGATGAAGCAAATGAGATTTTAAAGGAAGTGAATGGGCTTGCAATTTATAAAGATGCGTGCAGGGGAAGAAGTGAAGTCATAAATGCACGGGGAAATGCGATTTTAGGGATTGTTTCGTTTTCTTCGTTAGGAATTGAAGATTAGGCTTTACATTTTCCATGATCTCCTTAATTATATTCTTCTCCTCTTTCACCTTTTCTCATTTGCCATGCACGAATGGTATATGCTCATATTTTCTTCGCATGCTAACTTCTAAGCCCCGTTTGGCCATAATTTTTGTCAAGTTTTTTTTTCAATATTTTTTTGGCAAATCCCAAAATTAGCCATAATATTTTTTTTCAATATTTCAAATCCCAAAATTAGCTCTAAACCTGTTTTTAGCACAAAATACCTCTATATGAATTTTTAACAATTTTAAATATTACCCCAAACTTTTGTATTTTATAAATAAATAAAAAACACCATGTATTATGATCCAACTAACCACCATCTAATTACTATCATTTTCTTTTGGACCGATGGATCTTGTAATATTATTGTAATTTGTTGAATTATAATGGCTAGTAATTGTGTTATCAGCAGTTGATATTAAAATATCAGGTTATGGTTTTAGGATAGTATATTATGTAGTTCATTATAAAAATGATAATTTTGTGACAAACTTATCTATATTCAGGACTATAATTTGTGATAATGATAATGAATGGCATCGATGAAGGTTCTGCATATACACGTGATTAACAAGTTTGTTTGTTTGGTATTGTTGAGTATTTTTTATAGTTTTTAGAACTTATGGGTATAAGCCACATTTCATGTTTTTCAAAAAAAAATGAAATATGTATTGAAAAATTATGTCCAAACAGATTTTCATTTTCAAACCAAATTTCATCCAAATCAGATTTTTAAATTAAATTTGGGAATTTATGACAAACGCTAACAAAAACACTTCAGTAACTCGTTAAACTTTTAACTACACCAGAACTCTTTTAGAAAATGTATCTTTGTGTTCTAACCTTTCAACTTCTCTTTGGATTTATAAATGCTCAAATCATTCAAATTTCTATCATCTCTTCTATTTTACTAAAACAGAATTATTTGTCCGTCCAATTGCATATGTAATCATAGATATCTTCTTACTTCTCTCCCCCGGACTAAAAGCGAATTTCCACAAAGGTAAAGTGTGTAACTGAAAATTTGATCTTAATCCAAGGGATTCTTTATGCCTTCAGTTACTTGCCATGATAAGTTTTAAAAGGAGAAATTGGCATTACATGGTCATTCGAATATATGTTACTACAGCATTTTTGTTTTTGCCCCATTTCCTTTTTATTGCTTAGTTTTGCTGCACTTTATCTAGGAGAACAAGTAAAGTACGAATTTCCTGATTTACTTCATTTCAATGTGCATGTCATATACTAAATTGAGTTATTAAAGGTACCTTGTATTTTTGTTTAATACCTCAATTTGAAAATTTACAATGCACTCTACCTATAATACTTGTCGAAAACATGATTCTCAGCGAACCACCAGGTTAGGGGCCTGTTCTTGATTAGAAAAAGGACTACGTTCACTCCATGACTTCAGAGACACATAGGGTAGCATGATAATCAAAACTGAGGACCCAAGCCTCTCTAATTATCATGATATGATAATCAAAACTGAGGACCCAAGCCTCTCTAATTATCATGATAAACCACAGGACCCTTACCCCTACCCTCTCCATGACTTCAGAGACACATAGGGTAGCATGATAATCAAGACTGAGGACCCAAGCCTCTCTAATTATCATGATAAACCACAGGACCCTTACCCCTACCCTGGGGTAGAGAGGCTGTTTCCGATAGACCCTCGGCTCCTTCCCTCCAAGAACTCCCCACCTTGCTCTTGGGGTGACTCGAACTCACAACCTCTTGATTGGAAGTGGAGGGTGCTTACCACTAGAGCAACCCACTCTTGTCCAAGTTCAACTAATCAGAAGTGCTAATTATGCTGAATGAGATAGAGCCGTTAAATCTGGTTACCCCTTCATAAAAGCACAGATGAAAAAGAAATCAAAAGCACTCCTCTCAACTTATCATACGAAGAAGTTGTCTAATGAGAGAAAGATAGCATTGAACAGAGTTAATTACATGAAATGGATATCACACAGAGCTATAACTTTGCATCCAATGGAGAATAGTTATGAGAAGCTGCAAAACAACAACTTTACAGGTGTAGCAAGTCAAAGTTCATTAGTAACTTTGTGAAATGCATCAAGAAAAATCCATGCGTCCAAAATCAATTAGAACCATGTTATATAAGTACAAACTGTTCGAAGTGCCTGCATGTGGTGATTGTTAAAACAAGTCCCAGAAGAAAGCTAAAATGAACAGACAAATGCAAACTAAAATCATGATATATACTCTATTATGTAAATAACTATTCAATCTCCTTTCAACAAGAAAAAGGAAATCCATTAAAGGGTACTGAAACCTCAAGAAGGGCTATGCCAAAATCAAGAAGACAGGGCAAATAGATATGGATTATTGGAGTGTGGTACAAGTTTAGCATACATGGAAACTATACAGAGCACCCCAAGAACAATTGAATGTAACAGAGCTTTCAAGAATAGCAACCCTTCCACTGAACACTTATTCAAAGTAATTTCCTCGAGTAACAAGAACATATACCTGGAAGATAACAGTATCATGACACCAGAAAGCTCTAAATAAAATTCAAACATATCCATCTCAATCTTGTTGCAATTTCATTTTCAAATCACATCAAGATGAACTTTGAAGGAGTAGGGAAGGCTACTCTGGGAATTCGGATTATGATGGCTCTGGGAATTCGGATTATGATTGCTCTCAAAAAACCTTATTCAATTCATCAATCCAGCTAATCAAACTTATACTGTATCGCAATCACATTAATTGGACTTTTTTTCTTGGGTTGGAAAAGGAAATTATATATGTA